TTTTGCTTACTAATAGCAAGCAGAATGATACAGTATTCAACATTTAATACTAGGAAAAACATCTAGTACTGTATATCACTAGAGCCTTCATATAGAAACACTATTGCAGCTATGAATAAGGTATAAATAGTAAGCTCAGTCTTCATTAATTTAAAGCAGCATCTGTACAGTAAGTAAAAACCTGTCTGAAGAGCAAGAGGGTGAATTTTATTGATTTTACTACAAACTTACATGTTGCAATCTAGTACATGCAGCAAATATACGTGAGGCCTTTTTATTTCTCTTCAACTTGGTGCCAGTGAGGTTGATGACAGTGAGGATGTCTGTCTATTAGCATCATAACACTGTCTTGGCACAGAGTCTAGAAACGATTCATAATATTACAAAGACGTTTATACATTTAAATTCAAGTCTTTGTGCAAAACTAACAGGGCTAAATCATATGAGCTTATATAGAAAACTTAGTGAGACCATTAATTTTCTCTTCTATGTTTCATCTGTTCTGGGTTCCATTATCACCAGCTTGACTTTTCTTGTGGTCCACTAAATGCACCCAGATAAAAAGGAAAATGTTACCTGTTCTCAGAATATGGCCTATCATAACAAATCTTTATGAAGAACAGAATAGTAGCACCATTGGACAATTACCTGAAAATAATCAATTTTAATAATACAGAGACCTCAGTATTAAGAATGATAGCAGTTATATTTGGTGTTAAACTGTGGGAATTCAGTGACATTTATATTAGGGATATTAAATATCAGTTAATTGAATAATCAAGTAACCTCCTGAAATTTTACTGGTTAGTTGACTATTCTATAGTCCCCCGGGGTGGGGCCGGCAACCACTGTATCAGAGGCAGCGTGGGCTGCCAGGCAGGGGCTGATCCACCAGGGGCTGCCAGGCAGGGGCTGATCCACCAGGGGAGACAGTTTAAAAACCAGCTCCCCCTTGTGGACCAGCTGCCTGTTGCCCCATGCTGCCGCCTCTGATAAAGAAGCAACAGCACAGGGTGGCAGCAGCCCCTGCCTAAGGGGGAGTCTGCGCTCCTGGACCCGGTGCAAGCTGGAATTGAGCTGGGCTGTCTGCCCGCTCACCTGGCTCTTAATATACTTTAAATGAAAAGCCACAGCAGGGGTAGGTTCTAAACCTAGCATGAGCCAGAACTGAGCTGGGCTGCTGACCCACCTACTAAGAAAAATTACTGGCAAGGGTGAGGGAGGTAAATGCATGTAGTCCATAGTATTAACCTATAAACTTTTGCTTATTGATTAACCAGTTAATCAACTACATTATTACAAACCTAATTTATATGGGACTCTTAAATTTCCCAGGAAATCTTTAACGTACAGTTGAAAAGGGTGCACAATATACTCAATGAAATATTTGAAAATCTGTTTACAACTCATCTTAGACTCTGCTCTCCTAGTTGCTTAACATCCATTACCACATTATCTGAGTGTATCGTGGTTACTCAATGTACTTATGTTCATATCAACCTGCAAGGTAAGGAAGTACTAATAACCCCATTTTACAGATGAAAAGAGGACGCAGAAGGATTATATGGATTTGCCCCATGTCATATAGGAATCTTGGGGCAGGAATGGGAATTGAACCTGCATTTACCCCAAGTCGCAGGCTAGTTTGATAACCACTAGACCATCTTTCTTCTCCAGTTGCAAGCTAGACATCCTAAGTGTCATCACTATACAACAAATAGCTTGTTATTTTGTTTATATATTAGCTCTACATTAGGGATGCCAATGTGTAGTCAACTATATGATTAACCAATAAGCCTAGGCTTATTGGTTAATCTTGTTGACTACATGCATTTGCCCCTGCCCTTGCAACCTCTGAGGCAGCAAGAGGGGGGAGAGCCGGTTTAAAAGCTGGTTCTCCCAGCACCAGCTCTGCAGTGCCACCTGCCCTAACCCACGTTACTGCATGTCAGAAGCAGCAGTGCAGGGGGGAGGGGAAACAGAGACCTCAGTATTAAGAATGATAGCAGTTATATTTGGTGTTAAACTGTGGGAATTCAGTGACATTTATATTAGGGATATTAAATATCAGTTAATTGAATAATCAAGTAACCTCCTGAAATTTTACTGGTTAGTTGACTATTCTATAGTCCCCCGGGGTGGGGCCGGCAACCACTGTATCAGAGGCAGCGTGGGCTGCCAGGCAGGGGCTGATCCACCAGGGGCTGCCAGGCAGGGGCTGATCCACCAGGGGAGACAGTTTAAAAACCAGCTCCCCCTTGTGGACCAGCTGCCTGTTGCCCCATGCTGCCGCCTCTGATAAAGAAGCAACAGCACAGGGTGGCAGCAGCCCCTGCCTAAGGGGGAGTCTGCGCTCCTGGACCCGGTGCAAGCTGGAATTGAGCTGGGCTGTCTGCCCGCTCACCTGGCTCTTAATATACTTTAAATGAAAAGCCACAGCAGGGGTAGGTTCTAAACCTAGCATGAGCCAGAACTGAGCTGGGCTGCTGACCCACCTACTAAGAAAAATTACTGGCAAGGGTGAGGGAGGTAAATGCATGTAGTCCATAGTATTAACCTATAAACTTTTGCTTATTGATTAACCAGTTAATCAACTACATTATTACAAACCTAATTTATATGGGACTCTTAAATTTCCCAGGAAATCTTTAACGTACAGTTGAAAAGGGTGCACAATATACTCAATGAAATATTTGAAAATCTGTTTACAACTCATCTTAGACTCTGCTCTCCTAGTTGCTTAACATCCATTACCACATTATCTGAGTGTATCGTGGTTACTCAATGTACTTATGTTCATATCAACCTGCAAGGTAAGGAAGTACTAATAACCCCATTTTACAGATGAAAAGAGGACGCAGAAGGATTATATGGATTTGCCCCATGTCATATAGGAATCTTGGGGCAGGAATGGGAATTGAACCTGCATTTACCCCAAGTCGCAGGCTAGTTTGATAACCACTAGACCATCTTTCTTCTCCAGTTGCAAGCTAGACATCCTAAGTGTCATCACTATACAACAAATAGCTTGTTATTTTGTTTATATATTAGCTCTACATTAGGGATGCCAATGTGTAGTCAACTATATGATTAACCAATAAGCCTAGGCTTATTGGTTAATCTTGTTGACTACATGCATTTGCCCCTGCCCTTGCAACCTCTGAGGCAGCAAGAGGGGGGAGAGCCGGTTTAAAAGCTGGTTCTCCCAGCACCAGCTCTGCAGTGCCACCTGCCCTAACCCACGTTACTGCATGTCAGAAGCAGCAGTGCAGGGGGGAGGGGAAGAGGCTGCCACAAAGCAGCCTCTGTCCATGGCGGGCCCAAGCTCCCCATGGACAGGGGCTGGTGCCAGAGCAGCCTCTGCCTGCGATGGGCCCAGGCTCACCATGAACAGAGGCTGCTCCGTGGGAGACAGAGCAACCTCTGTCCAAGGGGAGCTCGGACCCCCCATAGACATGCTACTGCCTCGGAGTCAGAGGCAGCAGCACAGGGTGGCAGGGAGCTAGTTTTTAAAGTGGCTCTCCTCGCTGACCAGTTCCTGCCTGGAACCCCATGCTACTGCCTCTGATAGGTAGGCAGCAGCAGGGTGCTCCCTGGGAGTGAGGCCAGAGAACACTGGCTGCTGACCCTGCCCCCTGGGGTCTATAGAATAGTCAAGTAACTGATAAGAATTTGTGTGGTTACTCAACTATTCAATTACCCAATATCTAACATTGCTACTATACATCCAATCTTACTTAATGACCATGTTTCTCCTATTTTCATCTTACCCACACTCCAACTGAGCCATTCTTCCATCCCTTGCCTCCATTACCACTCATTGCATTTTGTCTCAAAAATATGAAGTGGGTGGGTTTTCCTTAGTATTTTAGATTCAGTTTATCAATATGGAACATGAAGAGAATCATTTCAGCTGCAGAAATGAGCACCAGCTTTTTAGTTATCATGGATCCCTAGAGTTTTGGTCATATTCACTTACCACATGCAAAGTTTAATTTCTTCCAGTCATGGAATTATGGTTTTATGCAGCTCTGATTGTGAAATATCATATTGCCTCTCCTCTAGTCTGCATATATGTAGCACAAGCCACAATTCCTAATGTTTCTGTAAGCAAATTAGCTATAGTCAAAAGAAGATAAACTGCTTCCATGATCCCATTAGTTCATCAGTATCATGGAGGAATATTAAAGTAACACTTTCATTGTGAGGGAATTTCTTATAAGGAAAGTTTTACCTAAGTTATTAACACTTCAGCTTAACACATTGGAAGACTGATTGATATCTGACTAACAATGACTAATTTTGTAGTTAGGAGTTCTCATGAACATGCTATGTTTGATTGCAAACATTCTGAAAAGAGTTACCTCTGTGCTTCAATCCAATGCCCAAGGTCACATAAAGGGAAAAGGTGGGGGCAGATGGTGCATGTTAAAGAAAAGTCTGAATTCTTTATCAGACACAGCAGAGTATGTGTGCATGTGTGTGTGTCTCACTCACTCACACCCTCCCTTGCCATCACCCCAAGGCACAGTTTTCTTTTCATGACTCTTTTCACCTCACCCTGGATCTTCCCAAAGATCAGGGATAAAAGCTCTGCCTGCATGTTACATTTAACTAAAATAGATTTTTTTTAAATCAATTTAGACTGGCAAAAAACACCCTTTGCAGGCAAAATTAAACTGGCCTACAACTGATTTGATTTAGCTTAATTCAGTAATATTCTGAATTAGGCTAAATTGCATAACATTAAAATAAAACAGATTTAAATATGTCCACAGAGGCTGTTTGGCTGTACCTGTTTAAACCAAATGAAAGATAGACTTGAATTCCACTACCACAACCTTTGCTCTCAAACAAGGCCAAAGCCTCTCTCCACAACACACTGAACACTCCTTTCCATGGGCTGAATGACAGCATAAGAGCTGAAGTGACCCCCCCCACCACCACCACCCAATCCCACATTTTACTCACACAACCAATAACTCAGTACAGGTACTAACCATCACCCGAATGAGATTGTCTCACACAGCACAAGTCACTAAGAAAGAAGTCGGAGGACATAGCAGACCTTGGAGACCTCAAAACAAGCCTGCATGTGGCAGGGAGGAGGAGAGGACAGGCCAGACACCCACTGAAATAGACACACTAGCATCATAGAAACCCTCCAAACCCACCGACAGAGAGTAGTTTATCCCCTGACCACACAACACTCTTCCCCATACAAGCCAAGCCCTCCCAGCATGAACACCCCCTGCAATCTGCCTCCCCTCTTCAGCACAGCCGCCCCCCATGGGACAGCCCCCTGCTAGTGCCCAAAGCAACCTCTCCCAAATCGCCCTCTAGCTAAGGCAGCCACAACTCCACCCAGATCACCCCCTGCTC